AAAACGATGAAGCTAAGTTTATCTTTTGTTGCAAATCACGAAAGAGCATTTTGGCGTTTACGTAAGAGGATGGAAACTCTGACCTTAGATTACTGCTGTCTTCGTCAGGCTGCGGACCCAGTTCTTTCATCAACAACGTTTCCGCTATATTATTATTGCTGCTCTGTGAATAACAGAGATCTGTTTAGAGAGCGGTACAATTCTTTGATAACTGGTCGCAATACCGTTTTATGCGAAGTACGCATTTCTTTTGTAGGCTTGTAAATTTGAAAGACAATATTGGAACTTGATAAACTTGGCTGTAACATTTTTCTTTATAGGCAAGTAAAGGTTAAAGAATGTGAAGAGTTTTTGGGGCTCTCATAGTATCCTAAATATTTAGAATAGTAATTGAATTCTTGACTACTGAGTGAGGCAAGATTTCTTTTGTAAGTTTCAGGAAAAGTTTGACTGGAGGTTTTTAGGCGAATTTTTTCAGGATTTCAATGATATCTCTTTGGAAAAGAAAGATAGTCAGCTATTATATAAGCAGCAGGACCCATCCGAGAATTCAAAAATGATGCGAAAAAAGGGTAACGCGCAGTCGTTTAAACCAACATACATTTCACTTGCAAGGTATTAAGTTCTGGTGCTACTAATTTTTCAATGTACTAGTAGGTGGAACTTTAGTGTTTTCTGTCTCTGTTTCAGTTGAGTTTTACCTTCTGTAGGCATAGCGTATTCTTGTTACGGTAATTTCCTTAATTTTACTGATTTCATTTTTTAGTTCCGCAGCTTATGTTCCTGCTGAAGACTGTCACACAGAGAAAAAAGTTTTTGCTGATTCATACTGTACAGGTTTCTTGTTTATCCGCAAAAAGCAATTTTTTAAGGACTTTATTTCCTGTTATATTATCTAAGTCTTTTTGTCTTTATTAAAAAAGATTACAGGTGAAAGCTTGGATTACTCCAGTGACGGACTTTCTAAATGTGAATTGTTTGATTTCTGGTTGATTTTGACGCTCGACCCGTTTGAAGCTACCATTAGTTTTTGTCAGAGGTAAACGAAGGAATGTAGATATTCTTCTGAAAATACTTCTGGAAAATTGTGTTTTTCCTAAAATGTGGCACAAAATTTCTTGCATTTTTTGCAGCCAACTTTCGTTTTCAGGTACAACCATTTACATGAAGGACTGTTCTCCTTGTTATGCGACAGCTTGAAAAGTGAATGGCGAATCATTAACCAAGTAATAAGCTTTTTTAATTTGAAACTATTCGGTTTTCTATATTAATTAGTCTACAGTTTTCTTTTACCACTCTGCGTCTCGCGAAATACTGCTAAACATCAGTAGCTTTCTATAAATTACCTTCAAAGAATAAAAGACATTATGTATTTCTTTTCAGAAAACTCTTTTGGAACAGATGTACCGCACAAGAAACTGTGATGCGCTTTTGGTTCCTAAAGATGAAGATGTGTTAAAAATTGGTTGTAACAGTTCAAACAATCTTATCGAAACTAGATCGTTTACTTCTTCACCGTCTTCAAACTGGTCTAAAAAAGGCACATTTGAGTTTCACACAATGCATTGAAACTGATTTTTTTACCGCTCCGCATCTCGCACCGCTAATATTTTAAAGCTCTGATTTATTTGCAGAAGTAATTTGTATTCTTTCTTCTAGTGTGGGAGATTTATTCTCAAGGCGGAACAGTACCGCTTCCAATTGCTACCTGCACAGCCGGACAGTTTACATGTGAAATAGTTCAGCATCACTGGTTTTTTGTTCATCCTCGTCTTCGGGAAAACTGCATTGCAGCTCACGAAGATCCACTGTGTAAGTTAAACACTTTAGAAAGACGTCATTTATCATTATTATCTCAAAATTGTTTACTATATTTTCTGGTGAAAAAGTTTTCTTATTTTTCACAATAAAGCACCAGCAAAATGTGTCCCCATGCAATAGTTGTCATCAGTCACATGTATCTTAGCATCTGCGTTACAAGTCCTGAAAAATCAAATTGAACAGTGGCGTGTCAAGAACCGTTTAAACATGTACATTATGAAAGGAAAAGATGATCTTTTTTATTTGCGCATTCATGAAGACGCGTCTACCGTATACGAAGCGTCCGCAGAATCAGACAGTTCTTGGATGGGCAAGGTTTGGGTCAATAATTCATCCTTAAGTCTCTGTGAAATAGCATTCGTATATCTTTCTTGGCCATTCAGCATTTCAAAGGATGATTAGGTGTCTACAATTTAATGTCAGTAAGCTGAATTTTTAACCTGATATCAAGTACAAACGTGAATTTAGTTTTCTGGCTTTCTTAAAATATTTTACTTTTTAGATGCATAGAGAGTTTGAAGTAAACATCCTATTAACAGTTCATGGTTATTGCCCTCCAGACGATCTGATTGACTCTGTAATCAAGAATATGGGGGAAGCGTTAATGCGGAAGACGGTAGAAGCGCTGAAGGAAGCCATTCAGATTGGGAAAGAAATAAATTTGTATCCTGAAGATATAGAGGTTGGTATTTGCTCGCATTCCCAACTAAGTTTCTTAATAATTTTTCATTCGATTGAATTACTATTTTAGTAGTTGGATTACACTTTTTGTTTTTTATGGATCAGGTTATTCTTTTATTGGTGAAAATTTCTGCGCTTCGTTTCCTTTCAAAGCCGTTTTATTGAACTATGGGTTTACTGTATTTGAAAGGCAATTACGGAATCAAGCATGCAATGTGCTTCGTTGATTTCAGTATCTGCAAAAAGATCCTTCTGCGCCGGAAAGAATCTTTTATTTTACTCTGCCGCGAGTAATGGAGAAATTTCTTGGAACAGTTTTTTATTATTTACGCCAACAGCTTAGTATGTATGCAGTTCCAGTTGTGGACTCCACTGGTTTTAGATCGTATCAGTCCGAATTTGACCCGTTTGCGTCAGATGAGAAGAAAGTTTTTTATGCTCTTAACGACAAAGCAGGTAGTTTTTTTTATTGTTGCTCGAGGACTGTCTTTACGTTACGAGCTTATCTTTCTACTATTTCTTAATTTCTAGGTCTCGGATGTATACAATTGCGTTTAGTTTCACCTGATGGAACTGTAAAAAGCAATTTGGAATATGCACGTTTCAATAAGGATGCGTTCTCCCAGTTGAGTCCCGTTTGGAATATGTCACAAATAGGCCTTAAAGCTTTCTTAGCTAGACTAACACATTCGCGGAACGTGTCTTCTCTCCCAATCCAGGAATCTTCTTGCGAAAAATATCCTGCGAGTAAACTCCAGTTTTTTTCGGTTTCTGGAGGATCTTTCCGTTTTCAAGTTTTGTTCAGAAAACCACGTACTGTAACAAAAAAATTTTCGGATGCAGAATTTTGTTATCCTCCTCATTATTTTGTATATTTAGGGGCTGATTTTTCGTCGTTAGCTCAGTTTGTACTGTGGGTTGCAGGAGGTACGGAGCAAAGTTTGGTCTCGCTCCAGTCTATCTGTAGGCTGGTCGTTAATCAGGCAAGTAACCTTTAAAAAGTTTCATCAGGGCAGTAACTGGATGTAACGTTCTGCTTGTAGGCACTTTGTGATATGATAACAGAGTTTGGACTGTTTGGGAAAATTATAGTTGAGTATAGCGCACCTCCTAGCCCTGGACCTGCACCTGTTGGATTCCGTGAAGAACGAAGATCTGGGGATAATGCGTAAAATTTCTTCAAAATAGATTTATTACCAATACCGGAGTAAAACGTTAAAAAAAGGAATTATTTTTTGTTGTTTATTTTGGATGGATATTTGAAAGTTAGTGTTCTTCAGACGACGTCCATCTGGTGAAACGACAATTTCTCTTCTGTCGAACGCGAGGACATCGTTCTCGAATGTCAGGTCCTCATCTAGCAATCCTCGTATTTCAACTACTAGCTCTCGGTCACAGTCTTCGCAGCCTGACTTCAATGGGAAGCCATTATTCAATCCTTTAATTCGTCGTCTTTCACAAAACAGCATTATATACGAACCTTCCTTAGAAGGTTGTTCTTCGTTTTTTAGAGTTATTTGATTTGTCAATCTGTTTATTTTGGTCGCTTTTGTCACAAGGCTTTTAAGATATCGCACTCAAACAAGAACGAACTTCCTCCTTTTATATTACTGCAAAATTCAACGCGATTGCTGCTGATTGGTTTGATTATGTATTGGCTGAACTGAAGTCAAAGAAAGAGGATCAGTATTCGTTGAAAAAGCATTCCTTTAGAATGGATAGTGATTACGCGGCTCGAAAAGTAAGTAACTGATTCTTCGTTTTTTAATCATGCTAACAACATTTTTTCATAATAAGTTTGTTTCTAGGATATTTTGTTAGATTAAGATTTTGTTTTAGTAGTGACATACAACTGGTTCTAATAGCATTTTTTTCAAGATTATTCAAGTGGTTGAAAGAAGGTTGGCTGCTGTTTTATCGACGGAAACGGTAACTGTTTTTGTAGCTGACCCGAAAGGCACTAAACGACTGGCCTCTATCGAAAACACTGACGAGTTGTTCAAACGAGTTGATGTGAGTTACTAGGACTATATAAAATGTAAGGCAGATAAACAGTAAAAAATTGTAGGGGAAGGCAGTTTGTTGTATTTTTTATGCTTGTTTCGATATTAAACTTTCAGCTTGATGTTGGTCGAGTCCAGTCGAATGATAGAAAAATTACTGCTAGTGGACAGCAAGAACCTCGAAATGCCAAAATGGCGTTGTTAGCATATAATCCTGACTTTGATGAGGCTATGCTTGATTACGGAGCAGATGTAAGCAAAAACGAAGATGTTGCTGTATCGCTTTTGGAGCGAGAGAAAGGTTTTTTGCTTTGTTCATAAGTTCTGCTGGGTATGACATATATGAACGATCTTTTATTTTTCTTCTACTCAGAGTATTAATTTCTGCTGGTTTTTATTTATCATTGTCTTTTTAATCAAATTTTTTTAGATAATAAAATCCACAGGTTCAAATTTAGTTTACGCCCTTTTGTTCCTCGACGGCGATTGCTCTATATGATTTTTAGTGGGGATGAGGTAACAAATTTATTAGAATTTTACTATGGCTATTTTTAAAAACTTGTTTTTTTTTTCAGTAGGACAAAATAATATCTTTCTTGGTTTAGTGCGACCTATACATCTACAATTATGCTTCATCGAAGGCAGAAGAAGTATATAAAGTAGTTGCAACTGCTGCATTTTGGCTCAATGGACGTTCCTATCTTATTCGCGAGATTGCACTTGATAAAATGGGCATAACACATTTACATCAGACGTTCCAGATGGTGATGGATCCATCATTATTCACTGAATTAAAATCTCTGCATGAGGAGGATGAGGGAACAAACGGACCCAATTACGAAAAGGCACTTTTGTGGCTAAATGCAAAGGCTTTGACGAAATATTCTTTTCCCGATGAAGATGATCCACTTTTTGTTAAAACGTATTTTTTTATTACAGAAAAAATTTAGTAGCAATTTTTTTGTCGTTGTCTTCAGGATTATCGGCTTACCGCTCTAGTTTTAAAATTGCTTCATTATTTTAGTTTCCGTGATCATTGTGACTCAACTTTGGAAGCTCAGTTGCGAATGAAGCTTTATACATATTTCCAGTGTCCTAATTCTTATCTACTAATGCTTAAGTATTACAAGGAACAGTGTAAACAGATGGTGGATTTGGAATATGATGTATTTTTTAAATCTTCTTATACAGATTCCTGCTTTTAATTATAGTTTGTAGCTTTAAATTCATTGTTTTGATTGTTGAAACCAGCGTTACGAAAGATTTTTCTTGAATGTCTTATTATTTTTTTTTATAAAATTACAGTACGGCAAGTTCTTTTATATGTTTTTAAGGTGGATGGGTTGCTGAAAACTCATGATTGCTTTGATAAGTTGAATCAAGCAATACATTCTGGTTGCGCAGAAATTGCGGAAAAGGATTTATTAGAGTTGATTGAGAGAAGTCGTGAGGTCCACTATGAAAGAGCGCCAATATTGTTTTATCCAAAGTGGAGATCTTGCCTTGCACCAGTTCGTATTGGCGCTAAAGGAACTGTCGAGCTACCGTACTTTTTTATTTTACTTTAAAGAAAATTTATGCGGAAATTTTTTTGTTCAACATGAAAAAAACAAGAATTAAGAATTTTGCGCTTTAGTGCACTTTATTAGATTTAGCTGTTGATTTTAGTGGTCCACCGAAATCTGCAGATTTTTCTAAGATGGTGCAACATTCATTCTTTTCCTCGGTGCCATCATTCGTCTCATCCAAACCACCGACTCCCACTTCTTCAAAACCTATTACGCCTTTGCAGTTTTCAAAAACGGTGAGCTCTGAGCTTTTCTGACAGTGTTTTTAATATTGATTCATTGTCTCTCCTTGTCCGACAGTCTCCTTTGAAACTTGTCTCAATCAAAAAATTTACCGTTTTTGCTTTAAAACACTCATTTAAGGGAAGACCTATGAGATACAGTTCAGCTTTTGAGTCTGTTTCTTCTTTGCTTCGCGAAACTCCTGATCCTTTTATTATAAAATTGGAATTTATGCTGGTTGAGGTATGGCATCATTCGCTTACGATTTTTATTTGGATTATGTATTTTCTGATTTTAGAAGAAGGTATAACTATGTGGTAATATGTCAAGATATACACTATCAGTAATGATAACATACAAAATATTTAAATTTAGGATTATGTGAAATATTTGGAATCTTTGGGACTCTTGTGGTTAAATGTAATAAACGTATGCAGTCACAGCAAAGAGATGAATTATTACTTTGCTCGTTACAATCCTGAGGTAAATCTGACTAGTTTTTAAATTTTTTATAACACCTGAATTTCATCATCTCATTTACAACACGCTTCAGCTCTATTTTGTCTCTGAACTTCTTCACTATTTCTTTCAAAAGTTTCTCCTTAAAGATGTTATTGTTTTGAGTTCTTACAGAAAACACGCAGATCTCCTAATGTTTGGCTCTGCAAAGCTTTGAAGGCTGGAATTATTTTCATCAACTTATCTTTCTCTAAACCTCACTTCAGGTTTGGTCGCAAAATTCCTTCTCAAGATGACTTTTCTTGTATAAGCAAACTTAATAAATATCGTAACTTAGATTTCACGTGCTGTGTTATGTTTACAGTGTTCGTGTGCTACTTTGGAATGAGTCTCAGCAGCATCATTCTGTTAAGGGAGCTTCGTATTGCGAAATTAATAAGGAAGATGAAGAACTTGCAGGATTGGAGAAAGACTTAATTGTATCGTTGCTGCACGTGCAGTCATATGTTTATGACTTTCATTTACGCATGATAGGAAAGTATCTTGTAGGTGGGACGGAGGTAGATATTTCATGGTGTTTTCGACTTACCGAAAAAAAAGCTTTTATTTTAAAAATTGTTTTCTGTCAAAATTTGAATTTCTTGCAACAAGTAATGCTTTCGTTTTTTTTTAATCACTTGGTGTTTTGAACTATACATGACCTACTATTGGCTGACTGTTTTTTCTACTGGGATTTAAAAACTTTATAGATGTTTAAATTGCTTTAAAAATGTAGGGTAAGTTGATATACGTTATCATAAAATATACTTATGTCATTGGTAAGTTGTGTACAGGTACTTTTTGATCCTGGTTACGACACGCATTCTCTGTTGGTCAACTTCCTCTATTGTTACAAGGGCAGACCTCATAAGTCACGGAACGGTGTTTTAGAAGGAACTGTAAGTCGGTTTAATTGCTCATTTTCTGTATTTTTCAATTTGCATTTTTGACCTGCAGTGCCAGTAATTCCTTGAAAAGATTTATCAGCCAAATGCACTACAAGGGTTTAATGCCTTTGCTTATTCTTTAACTGTTTTACCAGCTTGAAGTCACTGATTTGCCTGTTGATCAAACGATGGTATGGAATTACTTGTTAGCAGACAATGACAGATCGCGCAGGGTCGCGGCATTGAGGACCGGTTCAGATTCACTTATACAATATATGATAATTTGGGAAGTTGCAAAGGTGGTATCTTTTTCCAAACTTTTTGTCTCATGCCTATCATGTACTCTTCTGTTGATAATTAAATTTATTTGTTCTATTATAGGAAATTTTTCATATTCCTTATAAAATTTTTAAAATGTGTCTGCAAGATGTATCAGTGAAGTCCAGAAACTCTTTGAAATTGTGCTTGTATACAATTATTGTTTCCAGTGAAAAAAGTAAGAGGTTTTGAACATATCTGCATTTTTTTTTTTAATTTTCAGTATTCGGATACTAAATTTTTTTGCTTAATTTGCTTAAAAAACCTGTTCAGCTTCATTTTGGACTTTTATTTCTTTACTGTTGAAATCTGCAAACGCTTTTCTTTCTAGCAAGCCCTTTCGTAGACTTTAGTACAAGAATGGCGGGGAGAAGAGTGTTGAAGAGGAAAGTGCCAGGTCACCTGTTTCGTGGAAAAACAGTGAGCAAAAAAATGCGGAAAAGGTTTCAGTTGTTTTTACTTTTTGACTATCTGTAGAAAACCTTATAATTTTAACTGACCAGTTCCTGATTTTAGTCTTTTATTCAGTTGCTCTTAGTATTGCTTGTTTTTGGAGCACTTTTTTGCAAGAAATTACGTAACTTAATTAGTTTATTCTTAGTTTTCATCACTGATGTTACTTGCTCTCAAAAAATCTGTTCTGTTAGAAGTGTTGGTTTGTTTTCAAAAATGGAATTTTATTACACAAACACCATTAAACTCGGAATTGACTCTCTTCGGTTTCTACTAAGTTTATCGTTATGTCTCTTTTTTAGACTAGATTCTTTAAAGTCGCCACTTTTGAGCAACTTCGGGGATTTTTCTGTCGAGGCTTTGAACTATGAAAAACTCTTTGTTGACTTGCAAAAGAGTGGGTGTTTTCCACTTTCTCTTTGCTGTTTAATCAGTCACTTGTCACCAAACTGCAGTGAAAATTTTATTAAATTCTCTTTTTCAGGTTTAAAGAAGCCTTTTATTACCCACAGTAACATTGAAGGATTACTCATGCAGGATAAATTCTGGCAAAAAATTGCTGTTCAGAGGAGTCGACCATACAAACATCACGCTCAAAGTGTTGCAGAAGACTTTATCAGGAATAATGATGGTATCTTGATTTAACTCATTAAGCGGCATTTTAAGTGACTTGAGGGTATGTGAAGAAAATTTGTCAGTTTCACTTCGTTCTTAGCAATCAAAACTTGAGTGCAATATTTTTTTGTGAGGCTATTAAAAAATACACTTTTGATTCTCATTAGTTAGCTGTTACAGTCTCAAGTTTGCCGAAGCACAAGAGCGTTGTACCGAAGCGTGTAAAACGTTTGAAAAGATTAGCACTTCAAAGTGTACGAGCGTCAAGGCAATTTTCTCTACGAAAACGTCATCTTCTAGCAACTAAGAGGCTGCCAAGCACCAAAAAACAGCATTCAAAGATAACCAAAGATTCTGCAGCCTCGTCTGTTGAGCCACGTAAACCAAATCGTGATATTAAACGCTTACGACTTAGTTCTGAACTCTTTCAATTTAATAACCGGAACAAATTCGGTCCGCATGTTGAAAGAGGAATTTTTGTAAATTATCTCTGTCCTCGAGAGCAACATTTACAGATGCAGTTAGAGAATCAGTTCAAAACGTTTAGTAAGGAGTTGCTTCGTCTTATTGAAAATGCTAGTTGGCAGTGCAGGCGTGACAAGGTCATCTTTTTAAACATTTGTTTTGAATCAGTAATTAAGAGTCTCGATAACTAATAGAAGCTACTAGAAACTGGAAGATTAATTTTTTGAGCGTGAAGTACGATTTTTGCATGTTGTTTTAAGTAGAGCACTGAACTGTACCGAGTGGTTGTGGTGTTTTACAAATTAATAGCTTAATTATTACCGTAGGTTTTGCAGCTTTGGGTGGAGATGTTTACTCCGGCATCCCTCTCTCCAGTGTCCGGCTTTTCAATAGAAAAAACGCCCAAAATTATCAATCAACTTCAACCTGAATTGCGCCAGGTGTACTCGGCAGCTATTAGTACTACAGATGTTGACGAATTAATGAGCTATGCATCGGTAGTACCGTTATCAAAAATTGACCCTAATTTCGAAAAACTCTCAGTGGATTTTCTAGCTTTTCCATTCTTCTCGGCTGTTGTTAGGAATTTTGGTGCAGAAAAATGTCGTTTGTTCTGTTCGGATATTAAGAAGGTGGTTTTGCAACTTTTTCAGAATATTTTATGGAAATTATACTATTGCACTGATACTCCTAGTTGATCGCTCGGAAAATTTTTTCAAATAAAAATCGGCCTATTTTAGTCTTTTCCATTTCCAAGAGGTTTAAAATTTTTTGAAACTGAAATGTCTGGAAGTTGTATTAATTCTTGGAAAGTTTTAGCATTTGGTGGTTACTGCGGAAGGTCAGTCTGTTTTCTTGTTCAGCGCTATTGGTAAACATCCGATAGAGATGTATCTCGTTCACAAGGTAAGTTTTTCAATTTTATCACTTATTTTAAATCGGTGTTTTAAGAATTTATTAGTTTTGGTAGCTTATCAGGTTACTGAAGTGGTTTCACTTTTTCAGTTTATTTTTAATTCACTAATATATCTTATATAAAGAGCTTTTCAATAAAGTAACTAAAAGAAGAGATTTTTTTTTATTTTTTGTAAAAATACTTCAATTTTAGACACATATTTTTATTAAAATATTGTGATTTTGGAATTTTATTGGTCTATTTATTGCTGAAAACTGTGTAACAATTTTTTTCACCTACTGTAATGGACTTTACAGTTACTATTTATGTATAAAAGATTATTTTCTTATATTAATTTTTTATTGCACCAGTATCTTTTGTGTCATTTGCGCAGTAAATTGTTTCTTAGTGAAAAAAGATTATATTCGTTCCTATTTTCAGTATTGTCTCTGTATTTAATCTTTTCCCTTTCGTTGTTTTGATTTTCACTGTTACGATAAATCATATAGCATTGATTTGAAATCCTCCAAGACTATTCTGAATGCAACGTTTACCGATAATAATTTTAGTTTCTTTTGGGGCAGACTACAATCACCGAAGCATTATTTTTCGGAAGTGAAGTTGTTTGTTTCATATAAAAACTGAAAGAATTACAGGCATTTGTAATGGACTTGAGCAAAAGTTATTTTGGTGCTCTTTCGCATAAGTTATACTGTGTATGGTTTAGAAAACTGAGGATGCTCAGCGAGCGGTACACGGCTCCAAGGTGCTCGATGCGGTGCTAGCGTCTCAATTGGACGAAGTTTTGAGAGTAGTTGCATCTCATTGTTGGTTGGATTTGACTGCAACGCCTATAATCGGTAAAGTCAGATAGCTGATGATGGTGAAGGATAGAGGACATTTTGGATGGTCTTTTCTTATGTGCTTTTTTACACTTCAATTAATCCAACGAGTAACCGCGTTGTCATTTTTTTTTTTTTGAAGCTGATTGTATTGCTAAATGGTTTTTTTCTTTCATTGTTTACACAGTTTCGCAGTTGACATCTTAAAAGTTTGTTAATACATTATGGTGCTATTAATACTATAATTTAAGCGTCTTATACCTCAATTTTAACTTTGTTTTTGAAACTAGGTATGCTACTATAAATCTAAGGTATGAAGACAAGGATTCAGCAATCTTTAGACGGTGATCAGAAATTTTTTTCTATTAATTTTTTGTACAATACCAAAATTTTCTTACCGTTTTGAAAATCTCTTTTAGTTTCTCTTTCTCTGCCAAATTTTTTTGGTGCTTTTGCTTTTTGTTGTTTTTTTTGTAGCGAATTTATTAAACGCTTATAAATTTTAATAATTTTTAAATTTCTTTGTTTTTTTTCTTAAATTTTCTTCTGATGTTTTGCGGTTATTTTTTGTTCATTTTTTTTGACAAATCCCAGAGACTTTTTAACCATAGTTGAAACTTCTTGTTGGCTATGTTTGCTTTATAGTGCTAATATTTTTTGACATAATTTTTTGATTCATTGCTGTCCTCTCTTTATAAGGTTCCTCTTTAATTTTGTCTTTTTTTTTTCTGCAGTTAGTTTGAATTGAACGTCTTTGGTGGCTCCGTATTACAGAAATTTAAACAAAAGGATTTGTTTTTCTATTGTTATGATTGAAGTTAAGGGGAGTGGACAAAAGAAAAGTGGTTAGAGGCAGCGATCGTGATTTGATGTGTTATTGTTTACCCGAAGTTAGAAGTGCCGAAAATTTCTGATGAGAGTCGACGGCTGAAATTTTTTTTTGTTTTATTTTCTTTGATTATTCTCGGTAATTACGAGTGTTTTGAGAAGTTCCCACTTTTGTTTTCTCACTGACTTTTTTGTTGGGCTCTGGGAGTAGCAGTAACAACACGGAGCTATAGCAAATGAAACTGTCCAACTTCTGATTTCTCTTGTTTTTTCCTTCTACGTTATCGTCTTTCTCCTTTTCTTTCTTTTATTATTATAATCGTTTTTTTTTTATTGTTGAAATATGTTG